AATGTATAAGTCAATTAGTTGAGAAAGCTAGTTAGGCTTCCAATAGTTAATTAAGTTAGTCACGGGCAGTTAGTTGCATTTCCAATAGCAAGTTATAGTTAGTTATAGCTTTTACTTCCCACTTGTATAGTCCAGCTGGATTCAGCTGTCAGTATATATATATAGGAGTAGATTACTCGTAATTGTAGAGGATTTTATTCAGTCTGCACATCCCCAATTTCTGAAAGCTTCGCAAATGTCTATCTCTCTTATTTTCTCTGGCCTTCCTCCATTAGAGCTCAAAGTCAAGCTTGAGGTTTGGGTCTGATTGTTGCTCGTTTTTGTCATAGTATCAGAGCCTTGCGCTCAGTAAATTTTCTCGTGTTTCTTTCTCAATCTCGATCACTGACTACTCGATATTGATCAGTTGTTGAGATATAGGGTTCATTCAATTGTGATTTCAGCTTAAGATCAAAATTCATTTGTTTATTGTTCTTCTACAAATTGATGTATTGGTTCGATTGTACTGCATTAGTTTTGGTCCTTCTGTTGATTGAATTTGCATTCGTTGAAGTGATTCCTTGAAACTACGGCTGGAGATCAAACTCCCTTGGATGATTCAACTACTTCGAGCTACACAAACTCATAAACTGCTATGGATTCGACCAATCCATTATACATGCATCCTTCAGAGAATGCTGGATCTATGCTGGTTCTAGTGGCTTTTGATGGATCTGCTTACAGATCATGGAAGAGAGGAGTTTTAAGAGCACTGTCTGTGAAGAATAAAACAGGATTCATAAATGGAAAATGCAAAATGCAAAAGGCCAGAACAAAATTCTCTTATGCTCAGCCAATAGGAAAGATGTGATGATATGGTTACTTCATGGATACTAAATTCATTATCCAAAGATCTAGCAGATAGCCTACAATATGTGAAAGATGCTGAAGAGTTATGGCAGGAGCTGGAGGACAGATATGATCAAACGAATGGAGCTAAATTGTATCAACTACAAAAGGAAATCAATGATCTGACTCAGGGATCACTTGACATCACTGGATATTACACAAAGATGAAGAAGTTGTGGGAAGAACTGAATATTTTGAATATTAATGCACGATGCACCTGCAACTGTACATGTGGAGCTAAGGCAAGTATGCACAAGGCAAAACAAGATAGGAGGCTAATTCAATTTCTGATGGGATTAAATGAGGCATACACAATAGTGAGAGGCAGTATCCTTATGATAAACCCACTGCCTTCCTTAGCACAGGCTTTTCCCATCCTTATTCAAGAAGAAAAGCAAAGGGAGATGAGGCCACAGAGTCAATTGCTTATGGAGTCCACAGCCTTAAATGCAGGAGGAGATGGCAACAACAATTTTAGGAACACAAATGGAAATGGATATAACAACTTCAAAACAAACTATAATCAGCAGACAAATAACAACACTGGCAATAATGCATTCAGGGGGAACTACTCTCAGAATAGATCTCGTTTGTACTGTGATTTTTGCAAGAGGCCTGGGCATACCAAGGACAAATGTTACAAGCTACATGGGTATCCACAAGACTCACCACAGAGCTCACAGCAGTCCAAATTCAATAGAGGCAAATGATATGCTGCTAATGTATTTGGTACAACAAATGAGGGAGGAAACATTGAAGATGTTGACTACAGCACTCGTGATCAAGGTCGAGCAGTGCACAATTTTACAAGTGAGCAATATGGACAACTCCTCAGCATCCTAGAAAACTTTCAAGCTAATAGCAACAACAACATAGGAGATCACTTTGGGAATGCCAATATAGCCAGTGGAGCTGTAAACTTTACAGGTATAGTTGCATGCTCTTCCTCTACTGAACTTGTATATCAATGATGTGAAAACTTTAAAACTGTTGCTGACACATGAATCTTATATTCTGGAGCCACAAATCATATGACATTCAATAAATCCTCACTGACCAATACCAAAACCTTGATATGTCATTTCCTTGTTACCCTACCAAATGGCTATAAAGTAAAAGTAACCTTGATTGGTGATGTAGTTCTAAGTCCCAAATTCACCTTAAAAAGGTCTCTTTGTACCTAGTTTCAAATTCAACATGATATCTGTGCATTCCTTGACTGTACAACTAGATTGCTTTGTCATATTCACTAAGTTTTCTTGCATACTTCTGCAGGCCCCTTCACTGAAGAGGCCTCTGGAGATTGGTAAAAGCAACAGTGGTCTTTACCTCTTCTCTGATATGTGCAACAACAAATCCAATACTCATGTCTCTCCAGCTGCTACTGTCACTCATACTCCTAGTACTTCTGGTCATTCTAACTCACTTACTATTATTCCCAATAATATTTTTACTGTTTCATTAGACTCCAGTTCCAAAGCTTGTGATTCATCAGTAAATGTTGGTGATTCTAGACACCTATGTAATTATGTGAATGCTTTGAATACAAATAATAATAATGATGGTTGTTCTATATGTTCTACTTCTTTGCATCAAAAGGATACTGTGGATCTTTTGTGGTACAATAGACTAGGCCATGTACCTTTTGTCAAAATGAGGGGAATGCCATCAATACCAACCACTTTTGCCCCCAGACAGCCCTTTCTATGCCACATTTGCCCAATGGCAAGGCAAACAAGATTGCCTTTTCCAGAAAAAACCAACTCCACGACCAAAATATTTGAGTTGCTGCATGTTGACTTATGGGGTCCATACCACATTACAACTCATAATAAATACATATATTTCATTACCCTTGTAGACGACTATAGCAGATCAACATGGACACATCTGCTGAGCTGCAAAAGCAATGCTCTACATATCCTAAAAGGATTTATTGCTATGATAGAAACTCAGTTTAATACCACAGTAAAGGCCATAAGGACTGATAATGGCTTGGAGTTTACAGAATCTGAAATCACTTCTTACCTACAAACAAAAGGCATTATGCGTCAAAGAACATGTCCCTATACACCCCCAACAAAATAGGATAGTGGAAAGAAAACACAAATACTTACTAGAAACAACCAGAGCCTTGCTTTTCCAGTCCAAACTTCCTCTCAAATACTGGGGGAGTGTATCCTCACCTCCACATACCTGATAAACAGACTCCCCTCATCTTCACTTAAGAACAAATACCCATTTGAGTTATTATACAATAAGAGACCTACCTACTCACACCTTAGAAGCTTTGGTTGCCTTTGCTTTCCCACAGTTCTCAAAAATCACAAAGATATTTTTCATGAGCATATATTTCCTTTTTCCTTACCTTCTGGCTCTAAAACTTCAACTACTAATTACAATGCCATTTCCCAGAATGCTGGCATTCATTCTTCTTATGAAACAAATAACTCTGCTACTACTTCATGAGGATTAGAAAACACCCCTTACAATAATGTCAATGTTGACACTTCCATTACTAATCACACCCTCATGGACACACAATCACCCAATACCTTATATAGCTCAACTGATCAGGGTATTGATTTGTCCCCTTCTCATATCTCTGATGATACCAGAAATCTTTCCAGCAATGATAACCAACAACTTTCACTGAACCCAATCATACGGAGACCTTCTAGGACACACAAAATACCTGCTTATCTAAAAGACTATGTAGTTGCACTTCCCAAGTCACAGTCTAACTACACTGTATTTCCTCCTAACTCTACATCAACTGATAGCACACCATCCTTTTCATTCATCATATCTAGTCCAACAGCCCAACATATATCTCTTTATACTTTAATTCATGATAGTCAGCAATTAGTTACTAATATTTCATATGATTGTGAACCTGGCTCATATGAGGAAGCATCTCTAGATCCAGCATGGCAAGCAACTATGACACAGGAATTTGAAGCACTCTATGCAAATCACACTTGGGACCTTGTACCACTTACAGCGGGAAAGAGAGCAATAGGCTGCAAGTAGGTTTACAAAGTGAAACACAAAGCAGATGGCACAGTAGAGAGACTAAAATCCAGATTGGTAGTGAAAGGATACACTCAACAAGCAAGTGTGGACTATACAGAAACATTCTCTCCAGTCATACAGATGACAACTGTGAGGGACCTAATTGGTACAGCAGTAATGAAAGGTTGGGATATGTACCAACTTGATGTGAATAATGTATTTTTCCATGGATATTTACATGAGAAGGTATATATGCAAGTTCCACAAGGCCTCATAGTTAACAGATCTAACCTTGTGTGCAAACTAAACAAGTCCCTATATGGTAAAGCAGGCAAACAGGCAGTGGTATGCCAAATTAACTGAATCACTTTGTTCAAGAGGCTACACATATTCAATGTTGGACTACTCACTCTTTTCCAAAAAAAAGGGAAATTCAATGGTCTTTGTAGCAGTCTATGTAGACTATGTTATATTAACTGGAACAGACACAGAGGAAATCCTTTCCCTAAAGAGATTTTTGGACAACACATTCAGAATAAAGGATCTAGGGAAACTTCACTATTTTCTGGTAATGAAAGTGCTCTGCACTACTGATGGTGTGTTGCTTACTCAAAGGAAGTTTGCTCAAGATTTGCTAAAAGAGCATCATTATCTGAGTTGCTCTCCAATGTCTTCACCTCTTGACTCCTCAATCAAACTTAGAGCAGATGATGGGGTAATGCTAGATGACCCATCTCACTACAGGAAGTTGATAGGGAAATTGAATTTTCTCACTAACACTAGACTCGACATTGCCTATAGTGTGCAACATTTAATCCAATACATGCAGAGCCCAAGGGATACACGCTTGAAAGCTTCCACTCATGTTCTCAAATATCTAAAAGGAAATCCCAGCTTAGGACTGTTCTTTCCCAGCACCAAAGACTACACAGTTAAAGCATTTTGCGACTCAGATTGGGCAGCTTGCCCTGAGTTTAGAAGATCAGTAAGTGATTTTGTTATAATGCTTGGGAGCACCCCTATCAATTGAAAATCTAAGAAGCAATCAACCGTATCACTGTCCTCAGCGGAAGCTCAGTATAGATCAGCACGACAGGTAGTGGGAGAGCTGGTTTGGTTATCCAAATTGCTGCAAAAGCTGACTGTCCCTTTACAACTACCAATACCAGTATTTTGTGACAGCCAAGCTGCCCTACAGATAGCAAGAAATCCAGTGTTTCACGAGCGAACCAAACATATAGAAGTTGATTGTCATCTCGTGCNGTCAATTAGTTGAGAAAGCTAGTTAAGCTTTCAATAGTTAATTAAGTTAGTCACGGACAGTTAGTTGCATTTCCAATAGCAAGTTATAGTTATAGCTTTTACTTTCCACTTATATAGTCTAGCTGGATTCAGCTGTCAGTATGTATATATAGGAGTAGATTACTCGTAATTGTAGAGGATTTTATTCAGTTTACACAGCCCCAATTTCTGGAAGCTTCGCAAATGTCTGTCTCTCTTATTTCCTCTGGCCTTCCTTCATTAGAGCTCAGAGTCAAGCTTGAGGTTTGGGTCTGATTGTTGCTCGTTTTTGTCAATTGTTGCTATTGATTTGGCACTTGCTTTGTGGCCAATTTAGAGAACTTTTGTAACTCTTGTTAATTAAGCTTTGAGGGCCTTTGGTCCCCTTGTGTTTACTCTTCACATTGAAGAGGTATTTCATGTAAATCTTGGTGTCTCGTGTGTTTGATTATTTTTTCTTGTCATATTTGTGGTGGTTGATATACTTGTTTCCCGTCTTCTCTTGGTTCAAATAGATTGAGAAAGTTTGACGTGAGTATTATTCCGTTGCTACCTCGTCGTGCACATTGCTTATACATGCTTGTTATTTTCCAACACCCCATTTCAAAATGTGTCCAGGAATATGATTTGTGCTCCATATGCTCTAGTTGTCACAAACATTGTATACATTGAGACTCTTCAGTGGATCGATAGCCACAGGCTGTGGTTGCTTAGGCATTAGAGTTATTACCTTCATCCACCAGTTTCGATTTATACAGAATGTCATATGTATGATGTGGTAAATGCATAATGTTATATATACTCAACAGTATTTTTATTTGAAAGCTGCTTTTAATTAAGGCTGTTCCTTTTATTCACTTATGAATTTTAAAAGAAGAAGTATGTTTTAAGTATGGGGAAGAAATCATTAACACGTTGTCACTGATTCATTTATATGCATATACAAATTTTGGATATTTGCTCACTTTGCGAGGCAGATTTAGGATGAAATATGTGATGTAACTGAATTCATATATACATAACAAAAATTAACTTATATGCATATAATTCGATCATACTTTATATTTACCGACTATATATAAATTTCGAATTTTTCTATCTTCACTTACTTTCCACGTCTAACCTTCATGGGAAAGAGATGGCAGGACATACTTGACATCATTGAACTTATATTTGCATGTGTAACTTTAGTTTTGATTAAGTTGGCTTCTTCATTCCTCCTCTTTCTTATTCAAAGTTAAATGTAAAAGGTGACGGCTTGTTGCGTTTCCCTACAAGAACAGGGTGTACCCAAAGCCACTCCTCTAGCTGTCCTGCCACGACAGCGCAGAATGGGAGCTCGTGTGAAACCTTTTATTCTGGTCTGACAGCAATAAAACGTAACAAAATATTACGGCCACCTAACATAGGGGATGGAGGTACTGCAAACTCGGGCAAAATATGAGACCCAAAGGGCCCGACACATACAAACTTATCCTATCCGAGTCCAAGTTTATCCCTTGCACTTCGGACAGCCATTGTAGCATCATAAGGAGGACTCCTTTTCGAATAGCTAGCTAGTCCTTCCTTTCTTTCTCCTTCCCCAATTCAGGTTTTAGAAGAGTTTATTTCACGTAGGTGACTTTGTCCATTAAGATAGTAGAAAAAAACTCTATCGTCGAGAAAAAAATCTCATGCATGGCTACAAAAACGATGACTATCTTGAAATGCGATCAACGTATGTTCGATATATATGTTACTCATATTAAGTTTTTAATTACACTTTAGAAGCGTGAATCTAATTAAACAATCATAAGTATGATTTATAAAGTATTATTTTTTCATTGTCCAATATTCACGCATGTACATGCCTTTAAAAATTATCTATTATTAGATGCCAATCAATTATATCCCTTTGATACCATATTAACAAGGTTTGTCGAATCAGTCAGTCAGCAACCAAACATACTTGACTTTATAGCTTGATAATATCTAATTAAGATATGGCTACAAAGTGTCATGTATCCAAATTTGTTAAGACTAATAACAGAGATCAACACAAAATATAAGTCTTCGTTGTGAATGCCCAACTTTTGAAATATTGGAGTACACAAAAAAATTACTTATCTGCATTTAATAGTTTCATCAAAATATATTAATTTATTATAATAAACGATAAATTGAGATGAGTCCACCCTTAACTAGAAGCTCAAGTCTTGAAATGAATATTTTTATAGTGAGTATTTTTTTTTAATAAACTTTAAGGGACACGAGTTCGTATTAACGAAAAAGAGTGACATACGAGAAATAAAAAAAAAATAGAGTATCCAATCTTATCATAAAAAGAAAAAAGTTCTTGGAGCACATTTTAGGAGCGTGTCAGGCACGTACGAAAAAGGAACGTAAAGCAGCCATATCCTTTATGACTGCTCTCTTTCTGAGAAAGGAGCACGTGTCAACACGTCATTATACTTGATTACCATTACACGTGGAAATATCTAGCAGTCGAAGACTATTCTGAGGACTCAATCCCAACCATTCATTCTATTCAGACAACTCACTTAATCATTGGCCAAAACTACCTACCCACAACATTTTGTATAGGTCACTACAATCTTTGACCTCTTCCTTTTTTCTAGGTTTACAATACAAAAAGAATTAAAGTTATTTGACGTAGGACGATTAAACCTTTTAATTTCTAAATTTTAATTTTAAAAAAAAATTACATAACTTGATCTAGATAAAAGTCTTCCATCAATTCTACTGTAATTTTTTCTATTTAAATAATTTAATGTATATAAAAAGTTATGTTATAAAAAGACAGTCGTTTGACTTTTAAAATTATAGCAATAATGTCATATAAATTAAAAAGTGTTATAAAATAAAGACTGTAAAGTAAAGAAACCGAAGACAAGTATAGAGGGAGATTGATATTTTATTTCAACTTCAAACTCATGTACATAATGAACTGAAAACTTCTCTATTTATAGAAGAAAGGAAGCAGTTGCGAGGCTTTTCATGAAGCAGCTACGAGGCTTTTCTTGAACTGCTTGCAACCTGCCTGTTTAATAAGAAGCTGCAACAAATCATTTCATTGAATTGCTTGCAACCTACCTGCATCAGCTGCTTGTAGATAAACTTCAATAGAGTACCAAACAGATAATCTTTTTCAGGAAGATTATTTATAGCGGAGTAATAAATGGACATCCACATTATAATTATTTTTATAACACTCCCCCTTGGATATTCATTAAAAGATATTGTGCCTCGTTAAAACCTTACTAGGAAAAATCCACTGGAAAAAATCCTAGTGAAGGAAAAAGAGTACACATATTTAGTAATACGCAATTCTAGCTGCCTCATTAAAAACCTTACAAGAAAAACCCCATGGGAAAAACCTTAGTAAGGAAAAAAGAGTATAGTGCGTATTTCACTCCCCCTGATGAAAATCTTATTCCAAATATTTGACTCTCCGCATATCAATCTTGTATACCATCTTCTCAAAAGTTGAAGTTGGCAAAGATTTAGTGGATAAATCTGTTGGATTGTCACTTGAACGGACATCGATGTCACCATTTTTCTGAAGATCATGTGTGTAGAATAATTTTAGTGAAATGTGTTTCGTTCTATCTCCTTTTATAAATCATCCCTTTAATTGGGTTATGCATGCAACATTGTTTTCGTATAATATTGTAGTTTTTTTTAATCACATTCCAACCCACATTTTTCTCGAATAAAATGAATCATTGATCTCAACCATACGCATTCCCTACTTTCTTCATGAATAACTATTATCTCGGCATGATTTGAAGAAGTAGCAGCAATAGATTATTTTGTCAAGCGTCATGATATGACAGTACCTCCACATGTAAACACATACCCGATTTGAGATCGAATTTTATGGGGATCGGATAAATAACCTGCATCTGCATAACCAATATGATCTGCACCACCTTTGTTAGCATTAGCAAGATACATAAGTGCACCAACTGTACTGAGATAGAGTATTTCAGGACCAAGGAGTTCATCGTCCTCTTCTGGAGGTCAGAACGGATCCTTATTCACTTCAAGTGATCAAACACCAATTTGGTGTACTTAATGGGTGCGCTTTGTCCATGTAAAAGCATTTTAAGTTCCTTTCTGTATAGGCAGATTGATGTATAAAGATCATGTCTGCTAAATGTTCAATTTGCAGACCAAGACAAATTTTTGTCTTTCTAAGATCTTTCATCTCAAATTCTTTTTTAAGATATTCAATTGCCTTTTGGAGCTCTTCTGGAGTTCCAACAAGATTTATGTCATCAACATAAACAACAAGTATAACAAATTTTGATGCCATTTTCTTTATAAAAAATATATGGACAAATAATATCATTTATGTAACCCTCTTTCAACAAATATTCACTAAGGCGATTATACCACATGTGTCTATATTGCTTTAAACCGTACAAAATTTTTTGTAATTTGATCGAGTACATTTCTCGAAACTTTGAATTATATGCTTCAAGCATTTTAAATCCTTCATGAATCTTTATATAAATTTAATCAAATGAGTTATATAGGTTATGACTTGCATTTAAATGGCATGACATCTTCAGGTGTCAGGACTACATGTCCGGTCCTCACAATCTTTTACAATATCGTGCACTATATTGTATCAAATATATCGTCGACGATCATTTTGTATCGGCTCTTAAGCGACATAACTTGTTGAGATCTCGTCACTTTCTTTATTTTTAGGTACCTGAACTTCTTCTGGAGTTTCATGAA